CCGGGCGAAGTGCCGTCTCTCTAGTATTACTGTAAACTCTCTGCTTAAAGTGAGGCTGGAAGAGTCCACCAATATAGTTGAAGGGAACATGTGCATAGCAGTCTAAGCTGTTTCATTGCCACATATACCCTGTTCACCCCTTTGGGGTCACAGTTAAAATCAATCTCAAGCCCTGATTATGTAAGCTAACTAACACTGGTCGAGTCTACCTCACAAATGTGAGGGGAACTAACTCCTAACAATCTCTTCACTGTTGCAAGTGCTTGCTTTTTTTCCTCGACTTTTTACCGTCCTATAATCAGATCGTGACCTCAATTATGACACCAGCTCCTGGCCGCGGAAGGCTAACAAAAACAGCCAAATGTAAAATTTAAAAAATGATAATTGTCATGTTCTACCAAAGAGTTAGACTCACTGGTAGATCTATAACATATAGATCTAGTACTGACGCCTCTGCTTCTTTGCTTTGTGTTTATGTATTCACATCTAAAGTTAAATACAATTTTAGTTGGAACTGATATTTAATAAGATACTTTCCCGATTATTTTGGTGGTTGAACATACAATATGAATTCCGGATTTGTTTTCATTCACAACTCAGAGTCGCCGCCTCGAGTATGATTCTTGTGTCATATCTACAGGCCATATCTGGTCCCGTTTCACTTTGATTACCCTGTCAAACAAGTCAGCCTTCGCCCCTGACTTGTACAATGACCATTTCGCTCAGGTATTGACTTTAGAATCTCCCACTGTATAGTTTGATCTTTATTTAGCGTTCAACCCCGATAAACAAACACAGGCAAAACAAAACAAAACAAAAATAAAGATAATAAATGTGTACATGTGTAGTGTACAGCAGCGCATAGTTTTAAAGGGCAGGATGACACAACTTTGGGACTTTTGCCAGACAGAGTGTTCCAATTTAATTTTTTTTGCTTGTAGTGTCGACTGATAACCAGTTGTGCTCGACATTAATGTGATTTAAAAAAACCCAACAAAACCCATTGCGTTGCAATATTCCATTTTCCGACCGCCGAGCAGGCTCGCAGTGGCGTCGGTAGCCCACTCTATTCATAATCGTGAGATGGAGGGTTTGGAGTTCGAAGAACAGCTCGGTCTGGCATTTTGTCTTTAAGAAAGAGACTTTACATACAGGAATTTTACCATATAGGTCGGTCCTGTCGAAAATTCGGAGGTTATGCCTCTTAAAACTTTACAGTGTTATGAGGGGGCTTAAAACTTATACAATTTCCCGTATGTGAGGTAGCGTGGTGGAATCAGGCTCTCGTCAATTTTTTGGGAATGTAGTTATTGGTATGATCTTAAATGTTGTTCACTTATGTTTATTTGGATGAAAAAAATATCCATTTTATCTTGAATACAAGTGGAGATATTTGCGAAAGAAAGAGGTGGGGGTCACCTGTTTTCAGAGGTAAAATTAGTGAGAAAATGGCCGGAAATATTAGTTATTTCCTTAGCTGAAGAGTCCGTGGTACTCACAATTTATATTTTTTATGCCTTTAATCAACATTTTTCAGAAAAATTCACACATAAATGAGTTCTTTAAAGAACAAAAAAGGTGTTGAGCCAAAAAACAAAAATTTGATAAAAATTCACAAACCTGCGAAAAATTGCTTGTTTCTTCACTTTGATTATTTTGACGAGAGCCTGATTCCACCACGCTGCCTCACATATGTATGATGTATGCCAACTACGATTGTTCTTTTCCTCTGCTGATTCTGTCAGCCCCTCTGATCTTATTTTCCTGCAATAAATGACTATTTTAGTGTCGGTGTGTTTCTATTTACTCAAACTATACTGCCTTAGGTTGGTATTGCACATAGATGTCTATAATATGCGCATCGACTAGCATAACACTTTTAATGATAATAATATTGATAATGATACTAATATTGATAATGACAATAATAATACTATTAATAATAATTTTAAAAAACAACAACAATAATAATAATAATAAAAATAATGATAATAATAGAACTGATAATAATGAAACTGATAATAATACTATCAGTAATGATACCAACAAATATTAGTAATAACAACAACAACAATATCAATAACAATATACTACTACTACTACTACTACTACTACTACTACTACTACTACTACTACTACTACTACTACTACTACTACTACCACCACTACTATATACAAAAAGACCACAACAACAGATACTACTACTATTACTTCTTCTACTACGATTTA